TAGAGGTTGCTCTAGATTTTGGGAATGGAAGGAAGAAGAGTTTAAGGAGCTTTCGTATGGAGGGTACGGAGGTGGTTTGGGTTTCGAGGATCGTTTAAGGTTGTGGTCTCTCGTTGGTTAAGGGCCTAATGGGCCCTTGGTCTTGGGAAAGGGGGCCCCTCGGTGGGTGTGGACTCGTGGAGGTCCTAATTTTTAGTGAAAGGATTGATTTTGGTGTGTGATACGGTGATTGGGTATTCGTTTAAGTAAGAAGGCTTGGTTGGGAATTGGGGAACTGGGATGACTTGGGCTTTTCGAAATGTGTGCATTGGAAAATATAGCTTCTTTTATTGGTAATTATTTTGTTACGAAGGAAAGTATTGACGAGGATGCGTGTTTTCTGTTCTGTCTAAATATGATGGAAGGCAATAAATACGATGGACTGTGAAATGAGTTTCTTTGTTACGCCCTCCTTTTTTACACAAAGCAATTTTGAGCAATTTTTTTTTTTAAATTATCGAAGAATTGAATAACTCAGAAATCATTTAGTCGCATGATATTTCTTAAATTTCGCATTTACTCGATCGTTTATGAATATTTTCCAATTTCCAATTCTAATTAACCTAAAAAAAGAAAAACGTTTCGAGAAATGTTAAATCAATCGTAAATAAATATTATTATTCATCGAATAGACACAAATTCATACATACCTCAAATTCAAATTCTCGAATATTATCTATCCGATATCACTTCGTTCAAAATATTTTTTCAACGTGATGTACGCGGCTAATCTTAAATTTAAGGGATGGAAATAGCTCCTTCGGCTCAGATGCGTTTTAACGGTACGATATTTACGAGAGGGGATGCTCTCGCCTTATAACAATATTTTTTCTCCGGACAGACGCACCGATATTCTCAGTCCGAATTCGCACGCAGACGATTGCTTATGCTGATTGTATGTGCACCAAGAGAAACGGCCCCCTGTATCGGAATGCGATCTCCTCGTTTAATTACGAATCCTTCTGGGAACGATCACGACACCATTCGTACGCGGTGTTCCACGAAATCGACCACCTACAATATAAACACGATGTAGCCTAAGAAAATGTTCCATATGATACAAGCGTAAAAAATAATCGAGTTAAATACAGATAAATGGAGTCCAATAAGCTAAAATTTCATTGAAATAAGAGATAACTTGGTTTGAATCGTTTTTATCTATCTCGAATTGGTAAGGACTTTGATTTTAAATTAATTTAAATTAAATTTTTCACATTCAAATGAACTCGATTATTCTAGTAAATAAAAAAAATTTCGTATACCTTTTCTTCCTCGAAAAACATTTTGCAATTAATTTTAATCCACAATGAATTCCGAACAATTCTTTTACAAATTCTAACTTCTATTCCAAAAAAAAGCCGTATTTATTCCTACAAAAATATCTACACAGAATCAATTCTGAAAAATTTCAATTCTAAATGATCACGAACTGCGAGATAAAAATACGTATTACCGATTATTTTAAAACACCTCAGGAAACACCGAACACCTGTCTCCACTCCTGCTCTCCTAATCCCGCGAGCCAAGATCGATATTCCACCCGTCCCGTGTCCCGATTTCCGTGTCGAGGCGATACCCGAAGCCTTTCGTGCTTTTCCATCGTCTCCTGTTCTCCGTTCCCCGATCTTGTTGCTCGTTTAAACCGCGAACGAGCCTCGAAAAGAGAGGAGAGAGAAAGAAAAGAAAGAGAGAGAAAGAAAAGAGAGATAGAGAGAGAAAGAGAGAGAGAGAGAGAGAGAGATGGGTCAGAAACGTTCCACGGCGGCACGAATATCCACGCCTACCCATAACGATATTTTAATTAAACCGAGGCGCTGGCCGAGCCGAGGAGAAATTCAATCTCGGGATAATAAATGATCGTGGCCCAACACCTTGCTGACTGCTGACGAGCCGACACCTCGGCTTAAACAGTTCACACCTTTTCCGTGTGCACTGTCCGGAATGGTCAGCGAGGATACTCCTCTTTATTATTTCTTTGATAAATTCGATCGAACTCGCCCTTATCATTTGTCTTAGGGGGTCCAACGCTCGTTAGGTTGACCGTGCTGTTGGGCACGTGAATCGATCGCACGTGAAAGCGTCGAAAGTGATGGAAAGTAGGTTGGACAACTATTTAACCCTTTGAAGGGTTAAATATTAAGATAGATTGGTCGGAGATAATATCCTGGAGGAGGAATGGCGTGAATTTTAATCTTTGGGGATGACGTTTGTTTGGGGATCCGTTATTTTTCATTGATGGGATACTGCCCGTTTCATCGACGAAGAATAATATTGCAATTTTATGAGATTAATTAGACTTCGTTTGTAAGGAGAAAATCATTGAAAAATCGAAGGAAAGTTGTGTGAAAATTGTGTGAAGTGTATTGTAAGATGAAATGGTGTATTGAATATTGCTGAAGTTTTAAAAATTGGATTTTATATCAAAAAAAAAAAAAAAAAAAAAAA